GTGAGATTCTAGAATTCTGAGATGAATCCCGTGCTAAGAGGAGGGATTATTGCTATCACCCGATATCTTAGACCTGGGTAGGGTCGGTCCGCAAATACGGGAAATTCCATGGGGAACATGAGACGATTCTATCGGGAGTATAGTATCCGGTTGGAGTAAAGAGAACCTTGTGAATTATGTATCACTGCGCAAAGAGAGATGATACAAGAGGGAATTCAGGGAGACTTTTTCTACTGAGAGACTGGCGGAATTGTTCGAGAGAGAGGTGGTATCGTGGCATGGAGTGCCGGATCTGATTGCTTCAGATCGAGATGTGTGTTTCTCTTCCAGGTTCTGGAAGAGATTTCATGAGGAGTTGGGACACGTTTTTGCCCTTGACTGAGTTTTCTTACAACAACAGCCATCACTCGAGCATTGGTATGCCACCCTTTGAGCTGTTGTGCAGAAGGAAGTGTCGGACCCCCCTTTCATTGGGGAGAGGTAGGGTAACGGTTGATGGGTAGTACAGAGATAGTGCTTCAGACAACAGAGCAGATTCAGTAGGTCAGACAGAGGTTGTTGACCGTTCATAGTCGCCAGAAGAGTTATGCGGATATGAGACGATTTGAGCTCGAATTCCAGGTCGGTGAATTTGTACTTCTGAAGGTATCTCCTTGGAAAGGAGTGATTCGATTCAGGAAGAGGGGCAAGTAGGGGCCCCGATATATTGGGTTGTTTAGAGTGATCGTGAGGGTGGGCAAGGTAGCATATCGCTTGGAGCTACCTGCGGAGTTGGATCTGTATCATGATACCTTCCACATGTCACAACTGAGGAAGTGTGTAGCTGATGAGTCGGCAATGGTTCCACTGGAGTATATCTAAGTGGATGCGAGTCTGAATTGTGTCGAAAGACCAGTCGCGATGGTGGATCAGAGGACCAGTAAGTTATCGGGGCTTGACATTCGAGGAGCGAATATCATGGTGATCGTTTGAGTAGGCGGTCTGGCGGCGGGTTAGGCCACTAGCGTTTCCAGATTTTGGGATTGAGTGTATCAACGTCAGAGTGGTTGGATTAGTTTTGATTTTTGGGGTTCTGTGTGGGTTCAGTTGTCCATAGAAGAAGATTTCGGTATGGTATGAGATTCATTCGGTGGTACCCTTCAAAGATAGTATAAATTCATATATGGCTAAGGGGTGATTTCGAGGGCGAAATCTAATTCAAGTGGGGGAGAATTGTAACATCCTGTTTCAGATTGTTCGTGATTAGTGTTGGTGGGCCACGAGTTGGGTGCGAAAAGGTTTCGGGTTGAGGCGAGTTGCTTGAAACGTAAGGGATCTCATTACCTTTCGATATGTATGAGGATTTTGGATTCAAAGTTTTATCTTTGAAGCTATGAAAGTTGGGAGGGTTGATAAGTTAAGTCCCTAAAGTCAAGAAGTTGGCAGCAAAGTACGCTGGGCGTACGTATGCGTACGCTTAGCGTACAGATGCGCGTGTTTCTTAAGCAAGAGCCACCTAGTATGCTGGGCGTACTAGGCACAGAAGAAAACCCTAATTAAGTGAAGTGTCCCTATAAAAAGAAAGAGATGGTCTCATTTCTGGCCACCTTCCTCAGTTATTAAACCCTCTCAAACCCTAATATCCATTCTTGAAGTTTGTGGTGGCCATGATGAGCTTGTTTATGTTCTTGTGGACTTTTGAGAGTTAAGAAGGAGCATGGAAGGGAGTGAAGTCGAAGAGAAAGTTGTGGATCTGAGCTTCCTTGGGGCTAGAGCACCATTTGAAGGTATAAAGCTCCAAGCTTTCCCTCTCTTTTTGTTTTGTGTATTTTAGGGTCCATTTTACGGTTTTTGGTCCCAAGCTTGAGACTTTATGAGTTGATGCACTCCAAAGCTTAATGACCTGTCCTTTTAAGTGTATCTAGTGATGAAGAACCATAAAAATGAGATCTTGATCGTGTGGATCTACCCATGCATGAGTTATGAGCATTTTAGGTTAAGAAAGTAAGAGTTTTTATGTGTTGTGACCTTATCAGCCATGCAAAGGCTTAAAGTAGATAACTTTATGGAGTAAGAGATGTTAGGAAGTCCAGATCCAAGAGATAAGTTAAGGTCTTAACGGGTTAAGACCCAAAAATTTATTTAAGCAAAACTGAGAGTACACCCAACGTAATCCTAGTACGCCCCGCGTACTGGGCTGAGGTCCCCGATCAGATTTGTGCATGCTTGAGTATGCTGAGCGTACCAAGAGAGGTACGCCCCGCGTAACCCCTCTGTGGTCTTTTGGGCTAGGTGATCTTTTGGGCTTTAAGTGTTGGGCCGGAATCCTTGGGCCTACTTAGTGGAGTCTTTGATCAGAGAATTAAATTGATGTCTTGGGCCTCATGTTGGGCTTGTCTTGTAGGATGAGGTTGGGCCTTGGAGAAAACTCAATTATTATTGGGCCTTGGTGGGCCCAATGGGTTAGGACCGTAATGGACTGGTAGATGGTCTATCTTTAGACCTGGTAATTGAGAAATTGGACTTAGTTTCTGATTGGGTTAATTGTGGGATTTGACACAGAGTTAGAGGTCGGTGTTTAGCAAGCAGCATGATTGGAGGTTGATTCTTAGTGCCAGGTGAGTTTTCTCACTATACTTTACCTAGTGTGGTAACAGAGTTATGTGATAGAGTATTTTAGAGTTATATGCCAGTGTAATTGCATGTTATTTATGTGCTATGATTTATTGTGATATGTGCTATGTATGATTCAGAGTTACAGAGTTAGGACCTTCGGGTCCACAGAGTTAGGACTTTGGGGTCCACAGAGTTAGGGCCAGAGGGCCCATAGAGAGTTGGGGCTGGAGGGCCCCACTGAGACATATAGACCTGAGGGTCAATTGAGTTACAGCCTCGAGTGGCTATTATGTGTTAGAGTAGTATTTTGGGGAACTCACTAAGCATTTATGCTAACAGTGTTATGTGTTATGTGTTTCAGGTACCAGAGATGATCGTGGGAAGGCGCCGGCTTGATCAGTACACACACGGGATTTTTATGCTATGAGATCTTCAGATTGGTATATGTTATGAATTGAGTTTCAAACAATGATGTTTTTATGAATAATAAATGAATTATGTTCTTTATAAATTGCGAAAAATTATTTTGAAAATTTACGGTGTTACACCTCTCTTCTTCTCATTCCTTCTAAATCACTAAAAGTACACGAAAAAGCTCAAGAACACTCTCAAGGAGGATTAAGGTTCTAGATGGACAAAATGGAAAATAGAGGATGAAGAGTGAATGAGAAATGAGGAGCTTATGATGTTTATATATGGACCAAACCCTAAAAATTAGGGTTTGAGGATCCCCCGCGTACTCCCTGCGTATGCGATTTACGCCAGCGTACTTAGGTCCGCCCAGGTACGCCCATCGTACACAACATATGCTCAGCGTACTAAGTCTTTGGCCAAAAATACCAAAAAGCCACTATGGGCCATCTTTGTAATCTTTCTTATGCACAAGGGTCAAAATGCAATATTCCTTCAAACATACGGTCAAAATTGAAAATACCGCATCATGAACTATTGTATTGATCACTCATTACCATTTAATACCATTGCAATTTGTAGTTTAATTTTTGTGGAATTGTATTAAAATAGTCAATATACTATGATGATTTGTACATCTATCACGTTCATGTTAAATCATATTTTATTTTCACCCTCCTAATCGTAGTTTAGTTTAGAATATTTTCTATTTAACTAATTAATTATTTCTATCTTAGTTTTCATTTATTAAACGTTTATATATTAATCTATGATGATCATATATAATGCCTCCGTCCCAAAATTATTATCCACGTTCGACTTTTGAAGTCTTTTCATGTTAAATTTGACTAAAAATAACTTCAATTGTATTACATAATTTTTGATGAAACTTATAACAATGGAAATATATTTTAAAAACAATCTATTTATATACATTGCATAAAAAAACTATATAACAAAAAGTAATTATTTAAGGTTAAAGTTGAATAAAAGAAACTTAAAAGATCAAATGTTGATAATAATTTTGGGACGGAGGAAGTATTCAATATGTTCTATATTAAAATATGATATGTTGAAGTACGACTAACTAAATGACGATGTTTTATGAAACACTTTAAATAGATGAAGATGAATATGTGTTTCTTGAATGGATGGTTAGTGGTTAAAAGTTAGTATCACTAAGTTAGTAGAATTCTTTGGAACCTCTAATCTAAGAGGCAAAACCTCTACCAAGTTGATTAGTCCCACATAGGCGAGGATGAATATGTTAAATTCATAAAAAAAAAAACTATTAAAAATGTTTAATTATTGGAAATGTCCTTTAATTAGAGATCAAAATTAACATAATAATAAAATCGTAAAAATATTAAAGCGAATTATAAATCTACAACTGAAACTTAAGATGCTTTTATAATAATTTATAGTAAAATCTTCAAAAATAATCCATGTGGTTTTAAAAAAAAAAAAAAATCAAGTTTGGTCATTTACATTTTTTGTCAATGGTTCTTGTGGTTTCAAAACTTTTAATGGATTGTCTATTTAGTTAAGTTTCAAAACTTTTAATGGATTGTCTATTTAGTTAACTCGGACGCATTGGTCCATTAAGTCCAAACATATACAAGGCTTGTGGAGACAAAATTGGCTTTTATATACCCTAAGGACCATTCAAGAAGCTTTAAATGTTTATATCTTTGATTTACTTTCCATCTCCTAAAACTTCAACCACTGCCTTGCATTCTGAATCTTGGATGTGATCACTATATCTACAACTCCTAATCCATGCGAGAAGTTACGTGTTTCATGATGGATATAGGTGTAGATCAGAACTGGATGCCTATTTCCTAGAAACGCACTTTATGGACTTGATCCACCAGTATCTAAAGAACGTCACCCTACATTTTGTAGTTGGTGTTGTACCCATCGAAAAAAAGACTAACTTTAGCACTTTGGAAGAGAATTGTGCGCTATGAGTGGGCGATTCCAATGAAGAAGACATGGACCTCTCTCTTGCTCCCAAGAAATTCGAAAACTCTACTCTTTTAATTGATTCCATTCCGGTGGCGGAGTTCCAAAGCCAACAACTCGCAGTTCATCCACCGGGAGCCCTAACCATCTCCCGAGAGCTTCTCGACGCATCCATTGTTGTAGAAGCAACAAGCATGATTTCATGTTGGGGTGAGGATAAAACAGAATTGGGGAAACGCGTTGGGAGGATTTACGAATCTGTGATGGAAGATGTTTGTGATAGGTTACAAAATGCATAACATGGGATGGAAATCGGTGTATTATGTTATAAAACGAGACGCCTTCCGTGCTACAACTCCGATTATATTAATTTGACATATTGACTTCATTAGGTGCTCCGTTGGGCTACATGTTCAGTTGAGATTTTCTTCTCACGTAATAATGCTCTATTAGCAAGCTCGAGCATGAAGATTTTACAAAGAGTCGCTAACCATAATGTAGCCATGTATCCCTTCATTTTCATCTTACTCATCGAATATTGCTTCCCTCTCCTGATTTGCACATGATTAGACTTAACAAACCGAGTTACAAAAAAGTTGAACCAAAATCGATTTTTTTGAAAATCACAATGACCGAAGATTTTCCTAATTTATATGAAGATACTCTTTCTTTCATAAATGTACACCATCTGGAATATAATTAAATTTTTATAATCTACAAATGTTTCTCCCCAAACTCACAATTACAAGACCAAGGGAAAAGTCACATAGTCTATGACCCTGGCGCAAACTTGGTGGCATAGACCCAGGCATTGTTAGCCACAGGATTGTCCAAATGGTCCAATAGGTTCTCCAATGGCCCCTTCCCTGTAACAATAGCTTGAACAAAAAACCCAAACATGGAGAACATTGCGAGCCTTCCATTCTTAATCTCCTTCACCTTCAACTCAGCAAATGTCACCGGGTCATCTGCAAGCCCCAACGGGTCAAAATATTGGCCACCGGGGTAAAGGTTGTTACCGTCTCCAACGCCTTCAAGACCGTTGATGCGGAACCCTTCAACAAGACCCATCAACACCACCTGGAATCCGAGCACCGCCAGTATGCTTTGAGCATGGACAAGGTTCGGGTTTCCTAAGTAGTCCAGACCACCTTCGGAGAAAATCTGGGCTCCGGCCTTGAACCAGACTGGCTCCTTGAAATCAACTTTCACCCACTTTTGGAGAACCTCCGGCGTGATACATCCGAATGCACCAAGCATGGCCCATCGCCCATGGATTACCTGCATCATGATTAAGCCATTTACCTGTTAACTAATAATCTTTTCGGTTGGATGAAATGAGATGATAACAAGAAATGAAAATGGATATGTCACCTCTAGAGCCCTGTTCTTAGCGAAGGCCTCGGGATCAGCGGACAAGCCGGCGGTGTCCCAACCGTAGTCACCGGGGAATTCGCCGGTCAGGTACGACGGGGTCTGAGCGGAAAAGGGTCCCAAGTACTTGACTCGGTCAGGTCCGTACCACAAGTCGTTTCCCTGTTCAACCATTAAACAAACAAGTTTAGTGGATTCAGTTTATCTATGGGGTCTGAGCGGAAAAGAAGCGATCTTTTCAATATTACGCCATACCATGGTGAATTTGGCACTGGGCATGGAGACAACATCTCTTAGAGAGTTGAGACGCGATGGTCTGGTTTGACCCAAGAATGGGGTGGCTCGGACCACGGTGGTAGAGCTAGCAGCTGCAGCCATTGATGGATGTGGTTTCTGATGAGTGATGGTTCAAGAGAGGAAGGTACAGGTGCTGTTGCCTGTTGTAGATGATGGAGAAGGTTGCGAGGGTGGGGGTATCTGTAGGGAGTGAAGTGTGACAGGTGTGTGGTTAAGATTATGAAATTTGGGAAGAACCAATGAGAAAGCTTCAAAAGATTTCGTATATCTGCAACTCATATTACCCTATCCATTATGTCTTCTGGTCAGTGGTCACCTCATATATATAATATTTATATTTTAAAGTATTTCGTATTAATTAATTGCAATGTGTGCTTGTTGTGCGAAATTTCTAGTAGCACGACAAACGAGTGATACGAAATCGATGGTCTAAGATTAAGCTTACATTTGATTTCATAGCTTCAAAAGCTTTCAACTCAAATAGTTTGAAAATAACTATTAAAAACGACATTCAGTTATAAAAGATTTGTAAACTCAAATAACTTGAAAATATCTATTAAAGAACGATATTCAGATATACAAATTTGATTCAAGTTCAATAAGAGTATGGTTTAATGACCTAAAAATAGAACCAACTTTGTTTTTTTATCTGTATTTAGGTAACTATGTTTTTTTAACATATTTAAAATATGGTAGTATTATTCTATTATGAACAACTCATTCAAGGTTTCACCAGTCAAATGTGTATGAAAAAAAAAACAATTACTTAAAAATAGACAAAAACTAAAGTTTTTACTTTTCTATGTCATCAACCTAAAAGTATTGACTCCATAGTAAGCTCAAGAATATACATTTTGGAAGTTACCAATTACGTAAGGTTACATAGGCTCGACGATGATTGTTGGGTCCTTATAAACTCGATCTCAATTTAATATGTTTTAAGTGTGGTTCTTAACGGTTATTAATTCGATAAACTTTGATTCATATGTTGATTTACTAACATTTGTTTCTTTGGTTCAATGTAGAGTTTTTTCATGGTAGTTGGTGTTGTAAAACTCAGCCTAATCGGCCGAAAACTCGACACATATTCAGATTTCAGCCATTTACTACGACGATCCATAAAATATTCGAAAAACACAAATATGATAATGAATATGATAAATGAACAGTATGAATACAAGGATTAACAAATAGACCTTTTTAGACTATTTAAATTAAATTTATATTGTTATCATTAATTTCGAAATTATTATGTTATATCGGTAATTATCAAAAATTGTTGATAAACCAATTTTAACAATAAATAAGGACAAAAATTTATCATGTTTGACTCAAGATCTCATATATCGCTAAAATGTCACACCCCCGACGATAGTAGATTAGGATTAATAAAAATATCCCTAATACTATAATAAGATAAGATCATCAGATATCCTATAAAGATAGTAACTTACTGTTGATAAAATACTTTATGAAAGGTTTTTCTGCAACAAAAATAATTCTTAAATTAATACAACTAAAGAAAAGCCGAAAACTCTTAAAACATATGCACTCATCAACATTATGTTGATGTTTTCAAAAATACATGTATTCTTAAGGAGATGAGTATGGAGGATGGTGGTGTCAAAGAGGAGAATAGTCGTGTCAAGGAGGAGGAAGTCTACAAGGAAGCTACTAGAGGTTAGTTCCGCCTGTTTGTCATTTTTAATCATGTTTAGGAAGCGTGCTTGACTATCAAAAAAATATAACTCCAGAATAATTTATAATAAAAGAAATGTTTGTGGCATACCTTGTGTTATGTTATTTATATATTTGTATGTGTCGCTCCAATTTCCCCACTATCCTTACACTCATATCCCTGAGAATACATGTAATTTTGAAAACGTCAAAATAATATTAGTGAGTGCACAAGTTTTTAGAGCTTTCGAATTTTATTTGGTTGCGTTAATTTAAGAATCATTTTTCCTTCAGAAAAACATTTCCTAAAGTATTTTATCAACCATAGCTTACAATCTTTGTAGGATATCTATCGATCCTATCTTATTATCTTATTAGGATATATTTATTAATCCTAATTTACTAACTTTGTAGGATATCTAACGATCCTAATGTATTTTATCTACCACTCTAAAGCATCCATAATGGTATTCTAATCTCTAAGGTGATCTAATGAATTACCATGAGTCCCCAAAATCGACGTTGTTTGACTAATAATTTTGTCCCGCTACGACAATTCATCGAAAGTCGAATAGTTAATAATAAGAAATTCATCATCTCGGGATTGTAGCTAGCAATCATAGGTAGGGTTTTCAGACTTCGTATAGATCTATACATATTGTAACACTCGGACTTCTAGGTATATTGTTTATTTATTTATTTATCTATTTTGAGGACCATTAAGCTACTCGACGAGTCGGTGCTCCAACTCGTCGAGTAGAGTCGCGATGTACCACGTGGGATTAATGACCTACTCGACGAGTCCGAGAGCCGACTCGTCGAGTAGTTGTTGGGATGAGAAACCCTAAATCCCTGGGTTTAGGGCCTATTTAAAGGCACTTATAGCCTCATTTGCGGCTATACTTCCCTGAGATAAGCCCTAATCGCCCTTTGAGCTTATTGAGAGAGAGTGTGTGAGCTAACTTTAAGTATTTTTGTGTATCTTTGGAAGAGAAGAGAAGGATTTCAAGCAAAGAGCAAGAGGAGGCTGTAAGATCTATTGTTATTCATCCAAGAGCTCCTGTTAAAGGTATAAAGTTCGAACCTTTCTCATTTATTTGGATAGATCTCATCTTTTTGGAGATTAGGGCTTCTTTTCTATATATTTGTAACAACCCAAAATCTCAAGTATTGTTAAATTGCATTTTGGGGTGTTTTAAAGGAGAGACTCGGCGAGTTGGAGCCAGACTCGCCGAGTAGGGTCGCAGACTTGGTCGCGGGTTCGCGACTGGACTCGACGAGTCCAGATATGGACTCGGCGAGTCGACGCTGTTCAGCGGAAACCCTAGCCGTTCAGTTTTGGGTCGTATATAAGGGATCTTATGCCGTCATTGCTCGTCTTTTGGTCGATTGAGAAGAACCCTAAGCGGCTGTGGCATCTAGAGCAAGCTTGAAGGCCATTGGTGACCTTGAAGGAATTGTTGTGCAAGAAGGAGAAGGGTTTTGGCTAAAGGAACTGCAAGGAATTCGAGTTCTAAAGTTTGGGGACACAGAAGGTACATCATTCAGGTAATAGTTCGGATTACATTCTTCTGTGATTGATGTGTATATGGATTTAGGGTTTATGGAACCCATTTGATGATTAGATGGATTATTACCTTGTTACCCAAACGAATATAACCCTGTATTAGGACCCTTAGAGGTCCAGAAGATCCCAGGTCTGTGCATTTCGGGAATTGGTGAAGGTTTTGGATTGAAATCCTTATGCCTTAGGTTAACATGGGAATTATGAGTCTTGGGGTATAGCATGAGCACCTAAATGAAGGCCTTTTGTGATGGACCAGCTTAGGAGGACCAGACCTATGATTGGTCGGGACGATTCTGATCTTAGGAAGCAGTTTGATCGACTGCATGGCATGGACTCGCCGAGTCGGATGAGCAGACTCGGCGAGTAGCTTGAAGAATAGCTGGGACTCGCCGAGTTGTTCTTCAGACTCGGCGAGTGGAGTCGGGGTGGCCCCGCGATTCTTCCACGAGGAACTCGTCGAGTCAAGAGAGATACTCGACGAGTAGAAAGGAAACATCCAGGAATTTGTGAGGACGACTAGACTCGCCGAGTCCAGTCGAGATGACCGTTGACCAGAGTTGACCTGTGTGTGATTTCTTAGGGTCAGTTAACGTGGAAGATAAAAGTATTAAAGAGATATATTGTTATAGGGAGCTTGTAGCTCGGCGGATCAGGTGCAAGTGATTTCAGGAGTTGCTAACTTCCAGCATCCACGAGGTGAGTCTTCTCATTATACTGTACCCGGAAGGGTTTGATTGTGTGACCGGAAGGTCGAATATGTTATGTGTTATGTATATATGCTATAAATGGAAAGTTAGTTGCTACGCGTGATATGCATGTTTATATGGGCCGGAAGGCAACGTGTTATGTGACAGAAAGGTCAGGTATGATATATGATATATGTGCTTTATGTGTTAGAGTAAATGTATTATGTGCTGTATATGTTTTTGGGCCGGAAGGCAATATGTTATGGGCCGGAAGGCAATATGTTATGGGTCGGAAGGCAATATGTTATGGGTCGGAAGGCAATATACTAAGGGCCGGAAGGCAACACGTTATGGGCCGGAAGGCGATTATCTCATGGGCCGGAAGGCATTGTGCAGCGGACCGGAAGGTCAGGGCCTGGAAAGGCGTATGTGCGTAAGGTGTATATTGGGGAACTCACTAAGCTTCGTGCTTACAGTGTTTTATGTATGTTGTTTCAGGTTCTTTCAGTAACGCGGGATAGCATCGGCTCGATTGTACACACCAAAGAAAGAGTTGTATACTGGAGGATCCTGGTTTTCTACTAAGTGAAAATGGAACTATGTTTTTTTGTAATTCAAATGTGCATGAGATTTTAAACAAGTGATTTAATATTAATTTGATTAATTAAATGAAAATTTTGCCTTGAAAATCACGGTGTTACAAATTTGTATCAGAGCCTTGGTTTGAGGGATTCGGATGCGCCTTCGGGTAAATCTGGACTCAAACTGAGGAAATAAGAAAAAGTTTTCAAATAAATAGTTTTCTAAAAGTGGATAAGAGTTCAAAGAGAAAGCAAGAAAGAGCAGTGTGTACAATCAGCCAGAGCCAAACGGTGATTTCCCAAAATACCCTTACTTTTGTGTTATGAAATATATATTATGCACTTTATGAGATATTATTGCATGCTAGAGACAGGCTAGGTATTTCATATCTTAGGACTAGAGTGGCCTGATTTGTGATGCCTTAGCCTAGGGTTTGTTGTTATATGTGCGTTATGCTTTTGTGTATGTGATGAGCGAGAATATCCAGTTAGGACGCACGAGGGGTAGAGCTACAGAGTTCAGTGGTACTTCCGAGGATGAGCCGAGAAGGTGCAACTATCACAGATAGGGAGTCCTATGTAATCTTCGATGCTCGAATGCTGCTTGCTTTGTGCTTTGTGGAATTCTCGATGATGGGAGTCAGCTACTAAGTGAGTATGACGATATTCAGGAGGTAGATGGCTGGCATCATTAGGAGCTCTTCAGCAGCTGATAGCAAAGAAGTGGGAGGACGGCAGAATGGGCTAGGGAGTAAACCTAGCCAAATGAGTGCGCTGGTAGAGTAG